TCTCTGCTTAGTCTCTTTTTTCTCTTTCAGGCCAAACTGCCACGGGGGATCCACCAGGTGAGACCTCACCTGCAGAACATAGACAATGTGCCTTTGCTGGTGCCCCTCTTCACAGACTGCACCCCAGAAAGTAAGTGGCACAGAACCTGGGTCTGTCCTGCTACTGCCCATGAATACCTTCCCCATCCATTTGCTCTGACTTTCCTGGGTGTGGATGTGGGTGAAGGAAAGGGGATACAGTCCAGAAGCCTAGAGGGGCATTTTGATATTAACAACCCTCTATTGCTACCTGTGGGAAGCCAGGTGTTAACTTCATTTTAATGCAGCTGTTCCCTAGCTACAGAATTGGGCTAAGAACCACTCCTTGCAATTTACATTTGTAAGAGACACAAAAGCAAACATCCAAAATGCTACTGCCTTTTATTAAATAAGCATTATCAGTGTGCTAGGAGACTTTGATCTCTGCTTTCAGCCCTCACTGCCTTATATAACTCGGAAATCACTTCCAAGAAGAATTTTCCTCTGGCAGTTGCTGTTAACACTTTCTGATGCGTTGCAGTTTTTGATTGCAGAGACCAGAAAGGACAAAATTTCTTCATCTCTCTTAGAGATGGTGTCATCTAAGAAAGTGACTGAGTGCTCAGCTGGCTAATACCTGTCCAGTCTAGAGTAAAAGTGATAAGCGTCATTATGATTTGGCATTTTAGGTACCTCTGGGCACAGTTTACAGGGTGCCAGTGAGAACCAGTTACAGCCCAGTTTGCGTAAGCAGTCAGTGCCCAATAGATTTCCTTTCTCTTTTTGACAGAAGTGGCAATTCCCCACTTTGTCTAAATCCTCGCTGTGCTGCAGATCTGGGTGCACCAGTCATTTAGCTAAGTTGTTTACACAGGAATCTGCAGAGGGTGGGTTTTGTTGGTTTTTTTTTTGCCTGGAGCATTCTAGAAAATTCATATACACACAGGGCACTGTTCACAGAGCTACAGAAGAAAAATTGGATCAAACAGCAGCTTTGATTTAGAGGCCCCAGCAGGGTGTTGATAAAAAGACTGATGAAGGTGGAAGTGCAGGAACAGGGACTGGCTCTGAGTATGGCTAAGTGTGGCACTGCTTTTAGAGTGGTTTGTTGTATTCGTGCTGTTCCTTTACACTTGGAACAGTAGTGATGTGCTGCTAAGCAGAATTTAAAAGTGTGTATTTATCTGAGGTTTGAGTTATTTAGGTTTATTTAATTTCTGCTGTTTTCTAACACGACCATTTCATGCTGAAGCCATCTGTATTATATAGCCAGGCTATATCTACAGCTCTGGTCTGAAAGAGATGTGCTAGAGATGCAAATCACTGGGTGACAGTTCTGTGAATCACAGCTCGGTTCCCGCAGGAGGGAGATATACAGGGCACTTGGACTACAATTAATTAGCTATTAAATTGCATACTTTGACATTGGATCTCAGTATATACAACTGATAAATATCAGTTGGGGTAATTATGAAAGATCTGATTGCTTGTTATCCAGACTGGAAAGGGTGTGTGAAACCCTGCATCTTTGTGTGCATAACAAGGTATGTTTCTCTGTTTCTCCTGCTGTCCCTTTGCAGCCATGTGTGAGATGATCAAGATCATGCAGGAGTATGGGGAGGTGACTTGCTGTCTGGGGAGCTCTGCCAACCTCCGGAACAGCTGCCTCTTCCTGCAGAGTGATATCAGGTGGGCCAGGATCCAGACTCCTCCAGCTGCCTTTGACTTGAGCTTAGCAAGTGCCCAGCCATGGGTCACACCAGACCTGGGGATTGTGCAGGGGGATGCTCACAATTGCTCTGTCCATTGTTAACTGCATTTGTCTTCGTAAGGGAGATTTGGGTGCTATTGAATGGGATGACTAGTTTGATCCCTTGACACAGAGATACTTCCTTTCAGAGATGCTCTTGCATGC